TATATATATATATATATATATATATATATATATATATATATATATATATACAACAATCCCAACAATCTTGTCTACAATGATTTTCTCTGCAGTACAACAAATTTTTATTTGGTCCTGTGCAGAATTTTTCATGGCCCCTCTTGCATTTTGTTGTAGAGAAAGTCCACCAATTGTATCTCAAGCTTTGGCAGAAAGCCACAAGAATACATTTTAAAACAATCTTGCTATAATAAACTTCCCAATTCCAGTACGTTCCAGGGAATCTATGAAATTACTACCTGGGAATCTATGAAATGTTCATAAACAAATTTGTTTATAAACATTTCATAGACTCCCAGGTAGTAATTTCCTGACTGCGTGAGGCAGGCACAGTCTGGAATTTCTGATCCCAAATGTGACTGACTGCTGGTTCTTGTAGAGTGGATGAAAGCTGCTGTAATTGATGACAACATGTTTCCAAAAGGTTCCACAGCCCTATTCCTCCCAGAATGAAGAAGATTAAGGGATTGGTGCAACTATTACTGCATTTGGAATGCATAATACTGTATGTTCTTGAGTATCACATGCACCTTCTTTCCATAATTTAAGGCAGAAAAAAGGGTGCATGCAGTACTTGGGGATAACATTTTCAATGAAAAATTTTGGAAAACCCTGCGCGTCATATATGCAGGCATATTTCAACAAAAATATAAAAGGAAATGCGCGGCGCCATGTCTCATTGTTCATGGGGAAATAATGGTTGAAAGGATAGAAAGTTTGTCGCGGCAAGATTTCACTGTGAAAGATTTCAATTATTTTTCCACTCTTATGCCATGGAAATTGCAACCGGGAATAACCAGACGCTACTGTATAAATATTATATTCACTGGAAACAGGAACTAGGGATGATCTTATGCAGTCAGATAAATTATTGCATACTTACATTAATCACGAATCCCGATCAAAAGCAATGCATGTATATACAGTAGATGCGTTGTTTTTCATCCCGCCGATCGAGCGGTGATGCGTCTGCGGCTCAGGTCCCATATGTTACGGGGCAACCGACTTCCCGGAGAAAATGATGGCCAAGCCAAGCCTCGTTTCTATTTCTTCTGTCTCTTTATTCTGTCCCGTTTTTCTTTGCATTTTTTTTCAACGAGCGGTGTAAAATACCTTCGCATGGAGACCGCAGCAAGTAGGTGATGGTCAAGGACCTTCCCTTGATGTAAATGCCCCATACTCGGTACAGTATTTCCGGATGAACAAACGCTG